TATTGCAACCACACCCTGGTACTAATAGCACATATCGTTGCTTAAATACCGGGTCCTTAAATGGCGTGAAGTCATCGCCATTTGTTTTAGACTTTGAATTATTTCTTTGCGATGTCTTCTCATTATTGTTTGATTCCTTAGTATTGACCGCTAATGCTATTAATGTATTCAAACCGTTAATACCAGAGAATAAGCAAATGGTAGTCCAGAAGTTCATGATTAACATCAAAATAATCAGCAATAATCAACACTTATGCTTTAAATTACAAAATTAATTAATTTAGTCAATAATTACTAATATTATGAAAAACAAAAGTTTTTTTGCAAAGCAACTCTAGTTTATTAAATTGGTGTTCAATTCAAATAAACGTATTCTCGTTTATGACTCAAAACCAATGAATAAATAATAAATTTCTACAAACAATTGATTCATAAATTAGCTTTTAATTTATGAGTTTATTTACTATTTTTAGGTCGGATAGTATTATATAATAAATTACATAACTTTATAGACCTCTTTCTCCACTCTTTACATACTATTGTTTAACAAAACAAATGAAAACGTTTTCAGTTCAACAACATATCAATTAAAAAAATAATTTTATATAAATTTATGAATAAACTGTTGAATAAATAGCAAACAAAAATAGATTTAATTTAATACTAAATTAAAAAATAAATTTAATTTCGATTTCTTCTCTTTTTCTTTCGTTTCTTAATTCTTCGATACTTTTCTCCCATTTCATCGATTCGTTGTCTCCTTTCACTCACTCTCTCATTGAAATCATTATTCTTTCGGTTCTTTGAGTTTATATTTTGGCTAAAATTCACACCAAATGTCTGTCTATTATTCGTTAACTTATTAGATGTCCTTCGGTTATCATTTCCAAAAGTGTTACCTCTTCTCACAATTGGTCTCTCATTTGTTTTACAGGTATTATCAAAACGGCTACAAGTCTTTGGTTTTAAAGTTTCGTCTATTTTATTATTGTTACTAAACTTATTTCGTTTGTTCACAACATTTGTGTCGATATCTCGAGTTTTACCGATTCGTCTATTATTACGATTTTTATTGCTTTCATCCGAAGATTTCACTTTAGTTTTACTTTTATTAGTATTTATTTTAACATTTGTTTTAATCTTCTTTTCTTTCACTTTTCTAGTCGTCGTCCTAATAGTTGTCTCTATTATAGTTGGATTTGTCACCGAAATGTCTGTAGTACTCGACTCCACGTTATGATTGAGTGGTTCCGTACTCTTCGGCAAACTCTCCACGCGTTGTCTCCTTCGTTGTCCACCACTGGGTTCTGCGTTATTGTTCTCATTTACATTGGTATTGGTCTGTCCGCCCTCTGCTGTCGTCTCATCAGTGGTCGGTTCCGTAGTCCCTTCTGATGGTACAGTGTCACCGGTTGCTTGTGACTCACCGGTAGTCTCAGAAGTACCATCCGTAGGAGCAGTGGTATCTTCCGAAGGTTGAGGTTGAGTCGTATCATCAGGTGGTTCCGTGGTATCGCTTGAGGGTTCAGTTGTTTCGCTCGTATCACCGGTAGACGAAGTATCACCAGTTGGTTCATTCGACTCTGCAGTTTCGGTGGTTTCGGTAGTTTCTGTTGGACCGGGTGTTGGAGCAGGAGTTGCTTAGTGTCAAGAAATTATTGGTATTAATGATTGTTAAATATATGAGGGATAATAAGCTGATGAGTAACTCATACCGGGTCTGATGTCTTGCACCGACGACGGGAAAGGACAGAGACATAGGAACCTACCGGACGGTCCCAACGGCGACAGAAGTGGCCACTGATTTGTGGCAAAAACTGATGATTTATACAAAGAAATACTAAATAACCGGGGAATAGCTATGGCTTTGACATTATTTCGTGCTAATAATTGAGTGCTAGTGTTCATAGACACCAGTGCCGTGTCATTAAGACATTTCTTTCCGTACAAACACTTCACGAATAAAATCATTAAAATAAACACAAATTCTAAAGACATAGCCTTTTGTAAAATTAACACAAGGTTTCTAAAAGTCGTTTGAAAAGTTGTGTAAGTTTTATAATAAATATTATGTTTGTATTCATTAAACAGTTGAACAAATAACTTATATTGAATTTGGCGTATGAATGACCCATAAATTGAGAATAAACTCTACATTAACCCCAAATAATGCAATATACAGTATCAAACATTCAATTAATAAAAACAGTATAATAATATTGTCAATCAATTTGATTAAAATAACTTTATTCATTGAAAACATTGGTAATAAAAAGGAAAGTAAATAAACGATGATAAAGTGAATTAATTAACAATAATTTGAGTTCTTGGAGAACATTCCTATTCTTGAGATCTATTAAACTGAGAGCCAATTTCAATGAGTTCTTCACTGCACTCTCTGTCCAACATTTTCTTGAGGTCTTCATCGGAATAGAGTCGATCGGACTCTAACTTATCGGTCGAATAGTTATAAATGGCTTTGAAATCAGTTGACTCCAGGATTTTGATCAACTCATCCAAAGTGAGAGTCCGTTGTTGGTCACCGTTTTGTTGATTGGATGCCCGGAACGACTGTCCCTTTTGTATAATCATTTTGTCTAATTTGCGTTTACTATTGGCCGTCTGCAGTATCTTCTCATCGATGGTATGGGCGGTCACTAATCGGTACACAATCACTGGTTTCGATTGTCCGATTCGGTGACACCTGTCCTGTGCCTGAAGATCCATCTGTGGGTTCCAATCGGAGTCGTATATAATAGCGGTGTCGGCGCCGCACAGATTGATACCTGGGTTTAGATCACAAAACGACTCATCAATAAAATAAATTATAACCACAAACAGGATTTAATGCATACCTAAACCACCGGCTCGTGTGGACACCAAAAACATAAAAATCTGGTCATTCGTATTGAATTCGTTGATATACTGTTGCCGTTCATCCAATTTAGTGGATCCGTCGAACCTCAAGAACTGATACTTCCGGTAATGACAATACTCTTCGATAACGTCCAACATTTTAGTCATCTGTGAGAACAAAATGACCCGATTTTTGCGGACATAGAGCTGCTGCAGGAGTTCGTCGAGGGCTCGCATTTTGCCGGACGTGCGGACGATATCCTCGTTGACCACAAGACGGCCCTTCCGGTGATCGTACGGCCATTGGACGAGATAGGGATGGTTTGTGATTTTGCGCATTTGCATCAGTATATTGTAGCGATTGAATCGCCCGAACGACACGTACTGATTGTCCTGACGACTGCCCACCAGCTCTTTGGGCAACTCTATCACACTCTCATCGGCTATAAGACTAGTATAGCTCTCCTCGTCGTACAACTCATCGAAATCCTTGTAATACTGTTTGTAATCAATAATTTTGGTACTTTTGCGCCGCTTTCGGCCGTCAATTACACTGCACTCCAGTGTAAACTTATCGCTCTTTTGCTCCTTTTAATCAACAAAAATAGACATTAAATTCAATTAAAACCAAAACACTGTAGTTATTTGACATTACTTTTGCACTTTTGACTAAATTGACGGCACATTCGTATAGGATTTGTTGGGATGGCGTGGAGGGCGCGTAGACTAGGATCTCCTTCTTTGGCGGCAAATCGAGTCCCACTTCGGGTTTGGTTCGCCTCAACATAAATGGCGCTAAAATCTGATGAATCGATGATATAATCTTATTTTGCTTCTCCTGTTCTATGATCTGTTGATTACTCGAGTTCGTGGTCAACAGGTCTTCAAAGCTATGTTTGCATACAATTCATTATAATCTGTATTCAAAAATCAATGCTTCAATAAATGCATACATTTTCCAGTCATTGAAGATCTCGGGCGACACATAGTTTAGAAGAGCCCAGAGTTCGGCCAAAGTGTTGTGAAGTGGAGTTCCCGTCAGTATTACGCGATTCTTGGAACTTATTTGTCTCAAAATGCTAAATACCAACACAAAAAGCAATCAATGAGTATCTAAAACAATGGACAGCGAGTCCAGAGATGAGCACTGCATACCGGGACAACTGGCAGTTGATATTCTTGAGTTTGTGTCCCTCATCGACCACAACATACATCCACTTATGTTTCTTCATAACACCGATGC